TTTCTTTCTTTCTTTCTTTCTTTCTTTCTTTCTTTCTTTCTTTCTTTTTCTTTCTTTCTTTCTTTCTTTCTTTCTTTCTTTCTTTCTTTCTTTCTTTCTTTCTTTGCTTCTTTTGCACTTTTGTTAGTTAAATTGTAAAATTTTCAATTAAAACTTTCTTTACAAAAAATAAATGGGGGTCAATCTAGCCTGCCTTATGGCAATGCATGAATTCAGTCGCTACTTTGTTTAGCACCCTCCCTCCTCTCAAAGCTAAGATTACCAGGACTGTGGCTGGAGACAGACAGCTGGTCGTCATGTGTGGAAAGTGAGAGTTCCTCTACAAGATATTATAACTTCTGTTTGCTTCCTACACTTTCTTGAAATATTCTGAACTTTGCAACATTCTAAACATGGCAATATTGGATTTACCCTTTCAGAAGATTTAGGCTAGACCACACAAGCTGCTTACATCAGTGTTTTTTAACTTTGGCCTTTTGAAGATGTGTAGACTTCAATTCCCAGAATTCCCCAGCCAGCTTTACCGGCTGGGGAATTCTGGGATTTGAAGTCTACACATCTTCAAACGGCCAAAGTTGAAAAACGCTGGCTTAAATCATTCAGTAAAGTACATTTAGGGGTTAAATTTTGTTGACAAGTTCTACACAAAGTCCTGGCCTTGAAGCCTTTTGTAAAAGACAAGAATTTTCCCCACAAATAGCAGAACTGAAGAGGGAGGAGAGACAAAAACCTTTGAAGCTTTTATAACCCTGTCAGGGTGGAGATTACAGAATGTGAAGAATCCAACTAAGGGCACTGCTGGCACCCAATCTGCAACCACAACTGTCTTGTGATTAATGCCTTACTGGGACCCCAGGGCAGAAGCCGTCTTTGATTGCATTCGCTTCATCTCCTTGATAAAAGGGAGTGGGTAGTCTTCATATGATATGAAGGCGCTATTACTGGAACCAATGATACCACAACAGGAGTGAATGGGTGAGCTTTGTTTCTCATTATTATCAGCCTGGTTCTGATTCATATTCTTCTGTAGTTTATCAGAGCCTGCAGTCTTATAGAAATGTTTTTTTTTTTAAAAAAAAAAAACTTGTCCTGGTTGAGAAAAGATTGGGAGTGCCGCCTTCATCTATTTTTATCTCCAAACTTAACTGCATTCAACAATCAGCTTCTCAAGTCTTCAAGCTCCTCCTTATTATGATGGCCAGATAGAAATGTTGGCCCTCCTCTAATGATTCTGTTCAACAGAAATTAGTTTGAACTCCATAGGACATTGCTAGCAACCAAATTTGAGCAAACCCAAATTTGAGTAAATCAATTATGACAGTATATATCAAGATGGTAGGTTTAATCGTTAATCCACTTTTTAAGGTACCTTTTCTGCAATTCCATTTTCTGTAGTATAGATTGCCATAAGTTCTGTGTCTTCTGTATCTTGATCGCCACTTGAGGTTGCTCCTCCACTTATTACAACCTAATATATATAAATATATATAATTAAGTAATACGCTAAAATAATTTCAGAGTGTATCATATAATCTTGTATAACAGAATATTATATTTTTAAACCAAAACACAGAACATGAAGTTTACAGAAAAATGTTTGGTTTAGCTAACTCATTGGGGGATGAGAAGTGTCAGTCAAAAATAAAAATCTGATAATGCAAATTTCCCAAAATTACAAGCAAACTATCTGAACTTTTGTGTTATTTGGAGTGAAGAATTATATCAGATTTTTGTCTGTTGCATCCAAAGTTAACTGAACAGGGATTCTTAAAAGCAAGATGTTTGTTATTGTAAAAAATACTTTTAGAGAAACAATTGCTATATAGAAAAGTATATAACTACAATTATAATATAGATTCTAAATTTGACAAATAAATAAACAATTCCAATATAATGTATAGTTTTTAAATTATTTATAAAATACTAAGTGTGCAGCTATGTATCTATACTAAACTTTTTAGTTTAGATTCTTTTTATTTATCATGAACCTTTCACCCAAAGTATGGTATTTTTTATTTACATTACCTTAGTTTTTATATTATGCAAATGCTTTATTTTTAATTCTTAAACATGATGCATAAATTTACACATTTATATCCTTGCCATTTCTGGCTGCTCCATTCCCTCAAGGATCTGAGTAGTGCATTTCTGTATCATTTTCATCTCTAGGATAATCTGTGGTGCAGCAACCAGGACTCAAATGACCTTCAATGAATTGCAGTCCTTCAAAGAAGCTTTGTTATATCCTTAGGGATAGCTGAAAGCAATCTTTTTAATCTCATTCAGAGAGATAAGACTGTGGTGACTTGAGCAATCCAATTAGCCAACCCTATTGCATCAGTTTTCTGAACAAAATAAGTCTTTCATAAGCAGTTATCAAATTCATTTTATAAGGTTGGAATGGCTGTTCCTTTTAACTCCTCTAGCCTTCAACAGAACTGATTTACCCAGACAGCTTTTATAACACTGTCCTCCTTCAGAACACAGCAATCAAAAGCTTTCAGAGGAAGCACCTGTCAGAAAGGGATTGTGACATCAGTGAGAAGCACATCACAAGACACTGCTTATCTATGCTGAATTCAAAAACCTGCCCTGTAAAAATGTATTTCCATGACTCCTTTCTTGGAGAATTAGTGCTTAACCCAATATGACTTCTAAGGGACACTGCTAGAGATGAAATGCACCCGCCTCACGATACTACCAAAAAGCAAATTAACATTTGTAAACATTAACTTACTGGCAACGTAAAGAAAGCAGTGTGCTTGGCTTCATCCTCATACTTGGCCTCTGCTGGGTTTCCAGTTTCTACGGATTTTGAAGTAGTGTTTTTGCCAATCCCCATGGTTTTCCAAAATATTCAGAAAATTGAATTGGTGACTAAGTTATATAGACAGACGCTGAGTTTTCGGTAAGAAGGAAAGCACCAGGGAAGAGCCGTATTGGGATACTTTAGGTCCTGCACACCTTCTGTCCCTTTATGGTCCCTAGAAATGAAAAAGATGAAAAGACATTTGCAAGCATTTCACAATCCTCACCACGAGTCAAGTTCCCGTAACTGATTACTTACATCATGAATATCATTCCGTTATTAAGATTTCCTTCCATAAGGTAGTTCATGACAATTTCCTCCCAAATTATTTTGGTGATACCAATTGATTGATTATGTGACATCAAGTGGTTCTCAATAGATACATTATCTCCTGGGTATCTATCATAGGATAGATATCAATAAAAATCTAAGAATTAGAAGATATCTGGTAGTATCTTTTCAGACAAAGAGGCTTTCAGGGGCTTCAGTGTGTTGACAGATTCCTCCTGGGTTTTTAGACCAGAGAGGTCAGCCAACATTTTCTATAAAGGGACAGAGCTCACTCTTCCATCTCTGCAACAGGGGCTGGCAAGTCCACAAGCCAAGGCCTCCACTGCCCAAAATGCCATGACTGAGGCTTGGGCCTTGGGTTCAAGTTAATGAATTCTTAGTTTCCAGATTAATACGAGTTCAGTAGGGAGAAAGCAGGGGATGTTGGGAATGAGAGTTCTGAGGATTAGATCAGATCAGATCGGAGCCATAGGTACTGTATGCAATTTTACTCCTCTTAAGGGTGCATAAATATCTCCTGTCATAAAACAGCAGTTTAATCAAGAACTGACTCATCCTCTGGCCATAGAGACTTGGCCCTTCCTCGCAACTGAAGCAGCAAGTCATAGCCAATCAGCCCCATGCTTCGTTTCCCTCTGACAGGGACAATGACTAATAAAAATCTGTTCTGAAATGAAGTGAAAGCAGCTAACAGAAGCAGGGACAGAGGTCAGAACAAATCACACAAAACGAGCAAGAAAAAAAAATGTTCCATTCAAAAAACACAATAAGTGTGATTTATTATAAAAGGTAATCAAGAGAATAAATCTGTTTATTGGAGAAACTGGAAAACTAATCTATTTCCAACTAGAAACTGGAAAACTCCAAACAGAAAAAGCAGCGAATAGCCCTGCAATTAGAAATAAATTCCTGGACAAGCTCATACAAATTCCTAAGCAAACAAAGAATGTGCCTTCCCTTCTTCCAAAAAAACTACCTACTGTAGAAAGAGTGAATGAAAGGCATACTTAAAAGCAAGAAACAGGCAGAAGGTGGCTCCTTCTATAACACAGCAGAATTTTTATTCTGCAAAGTCAAAGGAGCCCTTTATGGGACAGCAAAGAGGAAAAAAGGTGATTCAAATATCTGCTTAGTCACAATGACAAAGCTCATCACTCACTATTTTAAAAAGACCTTCATTAGTGAAACAACTGAGTAAATCACAATTGGCTCAGATTACACACCAGGCCAAAAGTAAAGAAATCACATGGTGGCTCAGAGAATGAGTGAAATCCCCCCCCCCCCCCGCAAGATCTTGGGCCTGTGCCAATTTTTGGAATCTTGGTGGGCCCCCACCCACACATACACAGAGACCTTTTTTCCAAAGCCACATGTTGAGTTCACACAACAAGGAGCACCTTTCTCAAGCCTGAAATTTCATGGGGAAATGACAGATTGTTGGTCTGCTTACAGACTGCAATTTGTGAAGCCCTACAGTTAGGGACACCATTGAGTTCTCACAACAGAATCACTCCGTCAAACTGAATTGTCACCCCTGACAGTTCTCATATAAATTCCTGTGGACAAGGTTAACTTTTACTTCTTGTTTCTAAAATAGCAGAAAGTTTATGCAACCATACAAACATCTAGCCATCCAGAGATGCTTAGGTTTTTTTTTTTTTTTACTGAACAAGTTAGCAAAAAATAATCCGGAACGTTATCCTCCCAATTTCTGCATGAGAAGAGATGGGAGGGAAAGGGGGAAAGAAAACAATTGGGATTAATGTAATAAAATCGAGGTGGTTGCCAGCAGAGCAAGCAAAGAGGTAAGAAAAACTGGCCTCAGTATCAAAAGAGGTTTAGGTTGGCCAACAAACCAGATTCAGTTTGAAAGGTCTTCACAGAATGTCCCGATTAGCAAAACAAAAGCGCTCTGAAGTATGCTGAACAAGCCAAGCGGATAATTGGGCAGGATAAAACGACAGCCAGAACTTGCCAGAACTTAATTCTGCACAACCAAAAAGTCTTTTCATTTTCTCTCAAAACAATTACTTGAAAAGAGGGAACTTAGAACATTGGTCAAACTAAATGGTTCTTTCAGTCCCCGTTTCTTCATTTTTGAGAAGACCAGGCAGAGAGGTTACAACAAAAATTTCTCATCAAGGTTAACTGTCAAAAGAGGGGATTTCGGTGCCTCAGATTTTTCATAAAACTGAATCATCTTGACTTTGACCCCCCCACCCCCCAAAAAAGGGACAGCACTGGCTGTCAAGCCAAAGAAGCAAGGAGGAAGATAACTTTAGCACCAATCTGGGGTACCTAGAATATTGACCTCAGTCAGAAGAATTTCTCAGCCTGGTTTATAACAAACTAACTAAGATGGAGTCTATTTGAAACCCACCCACCCCCAAGTTCCCCAGAAGCTTATCTATACATTCTGCAAAGTCTTGGGAGATTCCTGTATTATAGGCAAAATGCAATTAAATGCTCAGCTTTACACCTGTGGATCGGATGGCTTGCATCTGAGAGAAACTCCATGGAAGAGGGAACACTGAGCGGGCAGTTCCCTTTACTGAGGCAAGCTGGAACAGGAGGAAAGTATACAGGACATGTGTGTGTTCTGTGTCCTGTGGCCTTCTCCAGAATGCACCACTATCTCTTTTGTTCCAAGAAAGTCATACAAGTGAAGAGAGAAGGGCAGGGCCCCCCATTAAGACTATTCTGATGTGGTTTTCAATTTCAACAGTCTATTATCTCTGATTTGTAAAATCAGGAAAAGGGGTTTCTTTTTTACCAGTGGTCCCTAATTCAGCTATGACAGTCCAATCCTCAGATTACCTTTAAGCTACTTCTAAGAATAATTAAATATTCATTGTGGATATTTATTGCCTTGGTTGTTTTTTTTTTTAAATTCCTTCAGGTTTTTATATGGTATTCTTTATGCCATCTTTAAAGGGACATTCTTATGTAGCTTGTCAGCGACTTTATTATGTGCTTGTTTATGATAAATATTTTTTTACATTCTGCCCTTAAGGCAGTTATAAACAACATTAGCAAAACAAACTATTCAAATGCAATAAAACTGCCAAGTAATCTACATGATTTGTCATGACATTACTAAACAAAAGGGAAGTATTAACCAGCTTGCAGTTCAAGGGTCTTCTTATTAAACAGAAATACAGGCTGAGTAGGACATCCAAAAGAATATTATGTGAATGCCCCAAACCAGGAATTTACCAAGAGCAATAGGGCCTCTTCCTCTGATTGAGGAGTAGAACACTTGGGGATGATAGGACAGAAACTTACTCCCAAATGTGACAAACAGAGGAGCAGTAGATCAAAGAAAGACACTCTGGTGGAAAAATATCACTTACATAAGCTGTATGAAACCAACTCACTCCAATGAAAGATACTGAAAATAGTCCCTTAAGCCAAGCAATAGTCCAGAAATCAGAATTCAGCAATGGCTCACTATAACAATATTCCTGATGAGACAATCAATCAACAATCAAAATAATCTAGTTTTTTTAAAATTTTGCCTATTTGTTATATTTTAAATTTTATATTTCCTATGTTCAAATCTTCCTATCCTTTTTTCCTCAATTGTTCTTGGCATTGTACTCCAAATTTCCCACATCAATTTCCCACATCAGTCAGACAGTCTTAATTTTCTGTCTGTTTCAGTTCACCTAAGTACTGTACTTAGGGTTTCCCTCTACCTGATGCCCTGTTTCTCAATGAGATGGACCACAGCTCCCATCCTCCACCACAGCTAGGCCACCTGACTCATTTTTTACATGTAGATCCCCCGCCCTTCCTGCAGCTCAGGGCAATTTACCTGGGGATCCTCCTGTGAGCTGGGTTAGGTGGAGGGAGAATGGGTATCCTAAAACCACCCCAAGGATTTCTATGCCTGGCAGCAGATCCGGCCTTGAGTTTCTTCAGCCCTGTTCAAAGTTGTCATGCTTTCTTAAGATGGGGGAAGCTGTAACTTGGCATGGCAGAAAAAGCTGATTCAGAACATCTAAAACATGTCCTGCCCATTAATGGTGAACTTTAATGTTTAATAGGAGAATCAATACGGAACAATGGTGAAGGTGTTGGACTAGTCCCCTGCCAGTCACAGAAGTTTCCTGGGCACTTTGGCCCAGATGCTTCACCCATAACAACACAAGAGCACACAATAGATACAAACTCAAGGTTAACCACACCAAACTTGATTGCAGGAAATACGACTTCAGCAACAGAGTGGTCAATGTCTGGAATACTCTACCTGACTCTGTGGTTTCTTCCCCAAACCCCAAAAACTTTAACCTTAGACTGTCCACTATTGACCTCAACCCTTTCCTAAGAGGTCTGTAGGGGGCGTGCATAAGCGCACCAACGTGCCTACCGTCCCTGTCCTATTGTTCCTTTTATATTTTTTATATGTACCCATTTCATGTATTCATAACTATGTATATACTTATACCTATTATCTTGTAAAGCGATTGACAAATCAAAATAAATAAATAAATGCTCCTTCTCAGACCAAGCTACTTCCTGAAGTATTGTTGGTAGGAACCAAAGGAGGGAGAACTTACATTTGTCACTATCAGCTCTGGAAAGAAAAGCAGCATTTAAATCTAATAAATAAATCCCATAACATGGATAGCAAAGGTGAGGCTGAGATGAGAAATTTGCCAAGGCACATTTTTAAAATCATAGATTGATCTGTTGCATGTTTTGTTTCTACAAAGCCATGTCATTACAAGAATCTTACAAGGTATTTACAAAAATAATATATGATACTGATTTATCTCAAAATGCTAAAATACACTGAAAATATTAATCAAAAAGTCTTTTTCCAGTTATGAAAATCCATTGTATAAAATATTTTTAATATCAAAATTTAGCATTGCATAT